CACTTCTGAAATATTTGGGTTGTTTTTCTTTTTCTTTTTTTTTTTTTTAACTGCTAAATAAGGAAAGGGTCTGTCCTTTGAAAAAATTTTTTATGACTCTGAACTCCTTACTTTGTTCTAAATTGCTTCAAGGCCTATTTTTATTTTCCTAACTTCTGCTTCAGGGACATATGTTTTCTTATGGCTGTTTTCATACATTTCTCTTCAAGAGTAATATTTAGGTCAGATAATCTACAAATTTTCTGGAACTATACAGAAATGGTTCAATCTCATAATCTCCATGATATAGATGAGCAAATTTAGGTATGTTGACTGATGGGAACTGCAGAGTAAATCGATGGTTGACCCAGAAAAGAAAAACTAGTTTCTTGACTCCTAATTCAGCACTGTATCCACTGCATCAGGCAACTAGTTTAGAATCATTGAAGGAATTCTTGTGTGTCTATGATTAACTTAGAGTCACTTTTTTAGAAAGTAAGAGTTATAATCATATTTTCGAAATTGAAAATCTGTTTTCAATATTGCAAGGAAATATTCCCAGATAGTAGCCAAAGACCACTGCTTGTGTGTGTTTTATTTTATTCACTTGTTTAGTAGCCCTTCATGTACTATTTTTCCTCTCAGTTCTTCCCTTCCCTATAATTCCAAATACTCAGTCATTTTTCTAATTCTTTTAAAATTCTCTCTTGGATCAGAAGTGCTGTCAGCCCACAAAACTCTTGAATGAACGGTATACTCTAACTTAGAAACCATTTTTTGCCAGGGGGGTCCTAGCCAGCAGTATCAGTTTATAAGCACCATAAATTTCACAGTGTCACCACCAGCATGGAGGAAATCGCATTTTTGTAAGATCCTCACTGAAATGCCCATTTCCCCACCCCAGTAGCCAGTCAAATACATTAGTCCAGATTTATGTCACCTCAGCTGAGGAATTTGGTCCCAAGAATTTGGCCCCCTGCCTCAGTCATAATTTGGCTGCAGTTCATTAGAATTGAAACTTGAGTCTAGGTATTACGGGTTCTCAGTCTTGGACCCAACCCTCTGGGTGTGGCTTTGTCTACATTAGGCTGACAGCAATGATGCAAGTGTTCAGTATAGATAGTTCTCCAGATGACAAATCTCTTTTGGACATTATATTATCTAGCTGTGTGGAGTTAGGTAAAGCAGAGTCTACAATGCTGGTGGCCATCTGGGGTGGGGGCTTGTCTGTGTAGTAGAACCTACATTCTTTGCAGGGTTAGTTTCCTATCCCCAGAGCCATCCCTGGGGTGGGGGGGGGGGGCATGAATCGGGGCAACTGCCCCGGGCCCCACGGACAGCACCATTAGCACGTGCTGAGGGCACCACCCCTCTGCACACCGCCAGTTCTCTGCTCTGGCCACTCGCCATGCCACCCTCCACACAAGCTGATATGCCCTGGGCCCCGCACATCCCTAGGGTCAGCTCTGCCTATCCCTCCTGCAAAGATGAACAATTGTGAGCTTGCAGCAAACAGTTGCCTACCTCTGTCTTGCTCACAGTGGACTGGTGAATTTAAGCGAGTTGTGAAGCATTTGGGTATGAATGATCTGGGTTCCACCATACTAAAACAGTGCTATTGCTAATGGTATTGAATCAATGCCAGGGAGAATTGTTTTGATAAAAGCACATCAGGCTGTAGTCTTCATTCAGTATCAATGCCTCTAGAGCAAAATATCATTTCTTTTTTTCCCTGTAGGTTTTTTTTTAATGTTCAGATTAGTTTAAACCCTGTGCATGCATGCATGCATGCATGTTAGAATCTTATGTGGCTTCCAAATAGGAATATAAATCAACTTAGATTTTGTAGTAGGACTTCCCATTTTATTTTATATTGTTAAAATTAAGGTCATGGTTTCTGCGTAAAAGAAGGCAGCACTTCAGCTTTCCTGCCCTTTACCGTTATTTTGCCTTTTGGAATCAGAAGAGAGTTCATTTTTCTAGGGTATACAATCACAATTTTCTATCTTCTGTTTTTGTAGGACTCTGCTGCATGTGCCTCACTATAGGAGCTGTGCTTAGCTACAGAGCCGTAAGAGCTATTTTAAAGCAAAAGTTGGATTCTGGAGAGGTGTAGAGATACCTGTGCCACAACCAAGGAAGTAAACAGCTCAAATTCATTAGTAGTTCCTCCGTTTTTCTCTAAGCCCACAGCAAAGCAATGGTGCAGTGGGAGGATCAGCATGTGAAGGCAATGTAACTGTAGAAGAAGTAAGTAAAGTCTACTTGGCAAGAAGAGATGGTATGGAAAACCATCTACCTGCATTTCCAGAGTTCAACCAATGGAGACTAGCTCACAGGAACCACAGTGAGATACTCTGCTCACTAAACAATGACTTGAGGCACTGTTGGCCCTGATTCTTATCTTCATCTTAGGAAAAGTGATGATGGGAGGCAGTCTTGTATTGCAACTGTTTCCCAGGCCCTGGAAGCCACAGAAGCTAAATGAAAACAAGAATTGATAAGGACTGAACATTTCCAACACCTTAAAGATACAGAAGAAAACATCTCTACTGGAAGAGTCTTGTTCCCATGTCACTTTCTTTGCGTGGCATCTATCTTGAATTATCAAAGCAGCCTGAACTCTGTTGGGATCACAGTGTAGCCTGGAAGTCTAACCTGAAATTTACTTGTAGTAAGGCAATCTTCCCTGCATGCACTATAACCAGGGATCCCAGTTTTCTCTAATAAAAAAAACAAACCCCAATTTTCAGATTAAAAAAGTAATCCAAACCCCACATTTTTCTGTGATTAAAATGAAACACTACTAATATGACTAATATATATGTTTTGTTTTAATCATGGAAAAATGTGGATTTTGGATACATGTTAGTGGTGTTTCATTTTGATCATGGAAAAATGTGGATTTTAGTACTTTTTTTAATCCAAAAATTGGGGCTTTTTTTTTAATCAGAGAAAACTGGGATTCCTGGTCATAATATGTTTTGTGTTCAGTTTTGCAGAGCAAATCTCTGAAATCTGAATCCAATTCTTACTGAAGTCAGTAGTCTTTTTTCTCTCACTTAAATGGCAACTGGACTGGCCTCTAAGCAAGGTAACTTTTTGTGGCATTAGAGGAAGCTAGTTATCAAATTTACCTTTGCAGATAAAAAGTTGTAATCTAGCTCCAGTCATAGTATATACCGTGCCAACAAAACTGTCCACTTTTTCATCCTGGCTATTGAATGTTTTGATGGCAAAGATCAGAAGCATAAAGTGTATTTAGATTTTGAGTGTGTCTGCACTAGCAACTGATCCCAAACCTTTGTTATGCATAGTCCTTTTCACACTTGTAGCACTACATATTGATTTCTGTAAACTCTGGACTCATCAAACAGGGTTTGCTTTTGCTGGCTCTAGAACACTGATACTGTTGCTAGTCTTGCCAGGGCAGGAGAAAGCACATCTGTATGGGAGCAGCATCTTGTTCATATTTCATTTTCTCCTGACAGCCTTAGCCCTGTATTTGCTGGGCAGACTTGACTCATGGTGAAATACATGTGGGTGATATATAGGTGATTCTTGCCACCCCAGTCATATTTATTTTCCCCTTCCAGTGCTGATGGGAATAAACTCTGCTTTATATAATTAGGCCCTGAGCGGCAGTTTTTCCAGTGGGGGCCTAAAAGTAGACCACGCTGGCTCACTTCCATCTAGCCAAGTTCCACAGGTCTTGCATGGAAGGGCGCTAGGCTTTGCGTAAGGGCAGGCAAGCCCAGTTGGGACGTTGCAGCTTGGTGGTGATGGCTAGGGGAGCTCTGGGATGCTGCAGCTGGGGCTATTGGGTGCTGCTAGGTTCGGATCACTGCATGTATTGGTGTTTGAAGCTGTGCTAGTTTTTGGGAGCCGGCTGTGGTGGGGTCTTCTTCCTCCCCTACCCCTTTTTTTTTTTTTTAATGATGCACTCGTGGCCCACGTTTAAGGTAAAGCTCAACTTCCCAGGGATTATTATGCTGTACAAGGGGCCAAGTCCGCAACGGCCAGCGAGGAGGCTGACAGGGGTTGGGCAGGGTTGTAGTGCGCTCTCCCGTCGGCCTCAACCACCTGTGAGGCCGCGCGGGGGGGAGGGTGGAGCCTGGAATGCGCTCTCCCTTCGGCTTCAACCACCTGTGAGGCCGCATGGGGGAGGAGGGGGGAGCCTGGAATGTGCTCTCCCTGCGGACTCATATCTCGGCCACGGCAAGCCGGTGACGAGACTTGCAGGCGTCTCGCGAGACTTGCGACGCAGGCTCGCTTTACCTGAAATGTGTACGCGTTGCCATGGGGACCTCGGCCGGGCCGGCATTCGGGGCTAGAGGCGGGCATGAGCCGCGCTAGCAGCAGCAGCGGTAGCGGCAGCGGCGGGTCCTGGAGGGCGGGCTCCGCCACCGCCTCCCGGCTCATAGATGTGACTAGCAACGCGGCGCTGCTGCCCTACGCCGCGGCGGCTGTACCCCTAGCGCCCGAGGTACCTGGCCCCTGCCTGCGCCGGGACGCAGCTCTCTGCGGTGCAATGCAGCGTCAGTGCCTGACGGGCTGTGTCCAAGCAGGGAGGAGAAAGAAGGCGGCGGGGGAGGGAGGGGAAAGGCTCAGGGGTCGGGTAGCAGCTCCCCGTCCCTTCACTGAGCCGGAGAGGCCCCGTGCCCCCTCTCCGTGCGGAGGCAGCAGCAGCAGCAAGGGAGCCTGCGGGGGGGGGGAACGACTTCGGTTTCTCTTTTTAATGCAAATCAGGGATGCTGCCCCATTGCCCTTCTTTGGAGAGGAGCAATGGTGCCTCTGGCAGCGGGGTGGTCTGTGGTTCTCAACCTTTTGTGTACCAGGACCCATTTGTAAACATGGATGCCCAGTCCCGACACAGTGCCCCTCACTCCCGACCTGCTGCCCTCTGCCCCCAGTGTGTGGGCTATGGGGGGGCTCCAAGCAGCCCCTCACAGGCTGGAGCTCTGCCAGCCTGCAAGGGAAAAGCCACAGTTTTTCTCCTTGAAAGGAGAAACCATTTTTAAAGTTTGTTTGCCACCCTTTCATATATTCTTGAGACCCACTTTTGGGTTGCGGCCCATGGATTGGCCTAGGTGATTTCTGGAGGTCCCTCCCAGCCCTGCTTCTGTGTCATGGGCCATTACCTGCCTCTTCCCCCAGCCCTTCTAGTGGCAGGCAGCAGGGTCCCAGTGAATGTTCTGACTTCCTCCTCTTCATTTTAGCAAATGCTTCGGTAATCCAACACCCTGTTACGCTCTATCTAAATAACCCAGGGGTGGGCAAAATGCGGCCCAGGGGCCGGATGCAGCCTGCCAGGCCATTCTGTCCAGCCTACGAGGCCCCAAAAAATTTAGAAAATTAATATTTATCTGCCCTTGGCTGCCTGTCATGCAGTCCTCGATGGCTTGCCAAAACTCAATAAGTGGCCCTCCGCCCAAAATAATTGCCCACCCCTGACTTAACCTATTAAAATAACTGCTCCCTCCCAAAACTATAGCTGTGATGGGAATTTGTCTCTCCAGGGGCCACAGAGTTTCCTGATGTGGGGAGTGTCATAACTTGGAGATGTTCTTGGATAAGACCCTTAGTTTGCAGTTGATGGAAACCCCTTCTGTCTAGTGGGCGATGTAGCAGTTCTCAAACTGTGGTGAATCTGCAATGCAAGAACCCTTGGCCTTTCCAAAGTTGAATCAAAGTCACGTGGAATTCCTTTGCCCCTTTGGAGCCTCCGTAAGCATCTGGCTGTGCTAAACCAGCCTAGCCAGGGTACACTTTTATTCCCACATCATATTTCTGAAGATTTTTTTTTCCAGTTGGTAGACACTAGATTGATCCAAATGTCAAAATTGAAATAAAACAAAATCTCCTATTTTTTTCTTGGGATAATTCCAGTTAAAAAGCATTAGCAAACTTTGGGGGGAAAAATCCACAGTCTGGAGGAGCCCAGTTTGCATATAGAAAAACTGCTGTGGTGGAAGACAAAGCAGTGCATTTTTATTTATGCTTTTATGTATCTGAGGTGACGACATTAATTTGGAAAACTTTAAACAAAGTCAGAAAGTTTGATAACCACTAGTCTAAAGCCTCCATCCTACTTTTTCTAGTAGGGTTACAATTTCTAACTCCTGCAGAAGTGGCTCTTTTGATTATTTAGCCACTTTACAGCATTATCTTTCCTCTTTAGCATGTATGGAAATCCCATAAACAGGTCACATGTCAGTTTTATATGCCTAGAAGGAAAAGTAATGCCTTGCTTCTTATTTATTTTTTAATTTCTATGAAGGATAACTGATCATAATGCTGAGAGATGATGGTGCAAATCATCCTTTTTTTTCAAATTTTAGTTTTACTTCATTTAATCTATTTCAGCAGCTGCCACACATAATTCTCTGCAAAGTGATAGAGTTGTTTGCTTCAGTGATATTTAAATACATTTCAAATGGCCATTAGAGCTTATCTTTACAAATTCAAGGACAAAAGTATTCTTGTTAAACGTTGCAAAAGGGAGTATCTCTGGTGTATCAGGAATTTACTGTTATCTGAAGTTTTCTTCTCTATATTTCTCTCTTCTAACTCATTCCTTTGAAACTGTGGTTTGATGGCTTTGATCTGAAGTCAAAGGGGAGTCTCAAGGCTATTGAGACTGGACTATCCAACCACTTTCTTTTTAAAGTAATAGCAAAAAAAGGTCACCAAGGCAAAAGTTCACCTTTTTAACAATGCCTTATTTAATAGGGAAAATAGCTATTAGTAGAGTGAGTAGCTGTCACCTGGCGTAGTTTAATACTGAAAATCTATTTTTGAATTGGAGAAAAGTGATGTGTTCCTTCATTAAATTTACACTTTTTAACATTCCAAGGCCCACTACCATTTAAGTAAATACAGCTCTTTCAACCTGTTACAGAGCCGTTTTTAGAAACAATTTTTAAGTGTTAGAATCAGGGTCCAAGTGTGAGAGGGCCCAGAGGAGGGCCACCCACATGATCTGGGGACTACAGGGCAGACCCTACAATGCGAGACTGCAGGACTTGAACCTGTTCAGCCTTCACAAGAGAAGGCTGAGAGGGGACCTGGTGACAGTCTTTAAACTCACTAGGGGGGACCAGAAGGGTTTAGGGGAGACACTGTTTCCCCTAGCGCCCCCTGGCATGACAAGGAATAACGGCCACAAGTTGTTGGAGGGTAAGTTTAGATTAGACATCCGTAAGAACTACTTCACTGTCAGGGCGGCTAGGATCTGGAACCAACTTCCAAGGGAAGTGGTGCTGGCTCCTACCCTGGGGGTCTTTAAGAGGAGGCTTGACATCTACCTGGCTGGGGTCATTTGAGCCTGGTTTTCTCTCCTACCCAGGGCAGGGGGTCAGACTAGAAGATCCTACAAGATCTCTTCCGACCCTACATCTATGATTCTATGATTTTATGAATCAATGGTAATAAAAAACAAGGGGAAAAAAGGTTTCTTGGGCTGAAAGTAGATAACTTACGAATGAACAACCAGTTAAAAATAATGTACTTTTATGAATATGCATAAAAATGGTGGAATTTGATGGTGTAAGTTGATGATCACATCCTGTGCCTTGCTGTGTTCTCTGTAAGATCAGATCAGTCACAGTTATCACATACATGTCTATTATCTGTTCCATATAATACAAGATATGAAAGGCATAGTACAGATAAGGCATTAGAATAGAATATTGGCATGGTATGAAAGTCCATCACCTTCACAGTCTCTTTTCTTACATATCTCTTAATAAAACAAATTTCTTCTCAAAGACCTTTATAAATCAGTCCATCCACTTCTAATAACCTCCCCCCCCCAAACAAACAAGTAAAATTGCAAGGAGTGCACAGCAAATTGCTCCTTGTTCAGTCATGTACTATTGCTGCGTTTCATTTCACCCACCTTTGTCTGGATGTGGCCAGATCATAAGGGACAAGAGTGTTATTTGTTTGGTTATGTGTAGGGGTCAACCCAACTTGAGGAGGTGGCCAGCTGATTTTGTGGGGAAATCACAAGGCCCCCTGCCACTTTCATGGACTAGTCAGGGCACCCAGCCCCGTTTGGTTGATGGACCCTGCCCCTTTCTGTTGTTTGGCTGTGAAGGCTGTCCATCATAAGGCCCCACCCTTGCTGCTGATTGGTGGAGAGGGGTGGGGGCTGCATGACAGGTAGCCCTCAGCCAATCAATGGCAAGAAGCGGGGGGCAGCAGGCATCTTTGGCTCCCCTTGTTGGTGGGGCTAGGGATTGTTTGGCTGGGTTGCTGTGCCGTGAGGACTGCTGGTTCCCTCTGGGGAGCCAGCATTTTATTTCCAGCAAGTTTTCTTTCTTTTTTTTTTTTTTGTGGGTTTGGCAGACGTTGCCTGATTTCGTGGGCAATACTGGATCTCAGTAGGTCCCTATTTATGTGTAAAGCACATTCAACAATGTTTCAAAATAATTACAAGTAACAAATCTTGGCTTTTTAAAAACATTTATTTGTATAACTTGAGAGGAAGCACCAGGGGGACCCATTTCCTTAAATTTTATTGTCTTACTACAACTCTTAAATAAGCAAGTCTTACCAGAATTTACAAGTGGTTATAAAAGCTAAAATGCCACTTTTCTGATAAATGGTTTGAGATAACCTCCTTCCTTAACTATACTGAATACAGATTTATTATAATTAGGTCCAAGATCAGTTCACTGGAACTGACAGACAAATGGAAGAAGGAGAGACTGTATCTGTTACTTGTAATGTTACAAGGTAAGAAAAAGTTTGATTGCAATGTTATTTTTCTCATTCAAAAACTGGTGACTGAGGCAAATCATCAAATAAACAGAATTGGATAATGATTCTTGTCTCTCAATGATCATTTTAATGATTACAGCAGAAGAGGGGTGGGATTTAGGTATATTCAGGAGAGAAATACAAAAAATACCAGAAATAATTAATTTTATTTAATTGGAGTGTTTTCTTTAGATATTACTGTCATTTTCTTGAAACAAGTATGTTTGGAGAAAAAATACACAGATGCACAACAAATAATTAAAAGTTTGATAGGAATTGCAGAGGGAAAAATCAGCAGAAATTCAGGTCACTTTGGAAAGAAGACTTAACAGAGGGTGAGTGAACTTCATTAGGATGGAGATAGAGAAAAATGATCAAATCTTTGTTTACAGCCTTTTCCAAGAAGAAAGCTGTATTATCAACAATTTTAAAATAAATGAGCCAACATTATTTGACACTCTTTAGTGTTGCCAATTCTTGCAGTTTTGTTGCAAGGCCAATAATTTTTGGTGGTTTTCTTAAAGCCCTCATTTTTGGAGTCAAGTAGTTAAACAAGAATCTCAACTTTAATATTTTTGAATAAATCTCTAGCCTTCCTGGTTTGCTAAGGAAGATTTGAAAATGTGACATGAGTATCTTCACCAAGACCAGAAACCAGAAGGAAGAGTGTACTGAATTTTTTACAACTTCATGATTCCAAACAAATCTTGCAGTTCGTTGCAGTTTATGATTTTTGAACCCTGGTGGTTGGCAGTGCTGTGTAATATGCCAAGAATTCTTTCTTTGCTTCAGAAAGTTACTTTAAATAAGGCAAAACTTTATCTTGGTCATTGTTTCTCAGACTGTATTGTATGTAGTGTGGGCTGTAGTCAGGTGTTAGATGGGTTGGTTAACAAATTAGAATCCACTGTTGTTACATTTATTTAAGATTATATGGGATGAAACACCAATTTTTTTGATGCGATCAGCTAGATTTTAAAGCCTGGGAAGTGCTGGTCTAGATTTGCTAGTATTAATGTTGTTGTTTTTACTTTAATCTCAAACATTTTAGGTGAGATTATCACCTCTTGTCTGCCTTCTGTGCACTGGATAAAATGGATGAAGCTGTATAAAGGGGTACTTAGAGGTTGAGGGTCCAGCTGGATGAGGAAGAATTCTCCTTGCACAGGAACAGAAAGAGACAGCTGTAGGGGCTAAGGAAAACGGTTGCAGACTTCAGGACCCTCCCTCACAAGCCCTCTTTTTGGGGTGGGGCCACAGCATGTAGCACTTTCAACATTTTCTGGACAGCGCTGTTACCATAGATATGCAGGGACAGGCTGCTCGAATTTAGACACTTCCCCTACTCCCAAATCAGTTCAGGTTCTGTGTGGTACCAGGATGTCTTAGCTCTCATCCTTAGGGCTGTGAATTTTGTCCTGTAGTGATTCAGCTGGTATGGCAGATAACTTTGCTTCTTCAGTTAGCAAATCCTGACCATTATCTTACTTACGTATGTGTAAACTAGGAGTAACTCTACTGAAGTCTATGATTTGGTACTGAAACATACCAGTGAAAGTGAAATTAGAATCAAGCCTGGGAGTCAAGACTACTAGAAACTTGTAGGGCTCTGCCATAGACGTCTGGTGTGTCCAGATCACTTTATTTCTCATTACTTTATTTTCCCCAGGTATGAAGTGGGGGTAAAAATCCTGGTCTAGCTTACAGGGATGTTGTCAACAGGACAGGCTAAAAAAAATAATTGAAACATGATTTTCCCTATGAAAAATGGATTTAGGCCAAACATTTTTTTCATAAAAATGTTTTTCAATAGTTCTTTATTTTTTTTGAGAGAGAGAGAGAGACAAAATCCCAACTTTGGAAACTGGAGAATTGAAGTTTTTCAGTTTTTTACAATTGGCTAAAAGTGCTTTGTTTTTGTTTCCTTCAGCCCTCATTAGACACCAATTATATGGGAAGACTAGGAAAAGCCAAAACATTCTTGAGGAAAAAAACCAAAAACACCTCAAAACCCAATGACAGTTTTACATGAAAAGAAAATGTAAATTTGGAGTTTATATTGGAATTGTATATACTAATATGTTAGTGGTAAGATGATGTTTATACAGTGTTTTGAGATATTCAGGTATGAAATGGTGCTTGAAAAATACACAATTTTATCCAAAATGGAAATAGGGGCTCTCTGGTTTACTTCTAAACAGTCCCACAGTCTTATCTTTTGTCTTCATCTGGTAGCACTCTTGAATAAGTAATAATCAGTCATCATTTTGTATCTCTACACAGAAGGTTTAATTTATCTGAAGGGCGACTTGCAAAGCTGTTAGAAGGGAGAGATTGTTGAATCCATGTCTTTGTATGCACATGAAAAATTTCCAAGAAAAATGTGTTTTGAAACAAAATACTCTCAAATATCCTTTTTTCATCCAGCATTCAAGTATGGAGTTCTGCTTTTCCTCTCTAGGTGTTGTTGATATCATGAATCCCTCTGCTGGTGTTATGATTGTCGGCCTAGAGACAGTATGGGAGTGGGAAACACGACTGAAAGGAAAGTCAACCAGTTTTTATGCTCTATCATACAGTTCCTTAAACTTCATGTACAGTCTTACTTTACATCCAGCAGGACATAAAATGGCTTATAAACATAAATATTTATATTCCATAGTGCACAAAGTAAGACTGATGTAAATCTTAGAGTATAACAAAAACTGAATACAAGTTGCCTTTTCTAGCTCCTTGGACAAGCTTTCTTTTTCTGTACTAATCCATGTTGTCAGCTGGTGGTAGCCTACTTCATACAGACATGCTAGTGTGAAAAGGAAGTTAGTGACTGCAGTTCAACAGCTTGGAATAAAATAAGTGTTAACTTTATCTATGTAGTTTTTCATTTATGCAGAAAATCGGGGTGTTGTTTTCCTTTATAAAACAGATTTTATTTTAACTCCAATGCATAAAATGTTGATACTTTTTAAATCTGTACATGTGATGTTGCTTATTGGCAGTTGTTTATTCCTCTCTGAGGATTCTCCTGAGCTTATTTTGGAGTTGTTAAGGCCTGGTCTATACTGCAACATTTTGCCCACAGAAGTTACGTTTGTCACCACAGGTTTGTCTGTGACTGCATACAGATTTGATGCAAATCAGTGAAACTCCTGAATACAAGCAGCTTTCCAAATAACACACACCCTCAGCTGATACGCAGCTGCCAATAAAATGCCAGTTCGGCATGCCCATTGTTATTTTCTGCTGACAGAACCCTTCACAGTGAGAATATACAGCACTAGCAAAAGCAGCAAAGTACGTATGCTTTCTTGCAACATGGCAAATGTCTTAACACTCGCACCTGCTGCAAGACAACTGTTGTCTTGTTTCCATAGAGCTAACTGTAGTTTCCTTAGTCAGCTAAAGGGAAACAGCAGGTGGAAGGAAACCTTTTTTACACGGGAGGTTGGGAGAACACTGTCTGAATGGAGTTCCTAGTCTAGTAGTGAGACCTAATTGGGAATTCTGTTTTCAGAACCTGCCTTTCTACTTTCAGTAGTTCAGATTCAATGAACTGGCCTATTTTTAGAGACAAAATTTCAATAAAACACTTTACGATTTGTCTTCAGATGTTTACTACTTCCTCAAAGTTATTAGGCTTTAGAAGAATAATGGAGTTGCATAGCAGCTACCTAAAATTGCTTCTCTAGCAAGAGTCTCAATATAAAAAAATCCAGGGTTTGTCTCATCATAAATAGATGGAAGCTAAAATCTTTCCTACATCCTAAAAGAACATTTTTGTTTCTTTGTGTAAATTGTTAAAGAATTTTGAAAGTGATCTTTCTAAAGCAGGCACTGATTATTTCATGAGAGTGAGAAATACAGTTAGATCATAGATAACAGCTGTTAATAGTAGATGGAGTTTCAGGCTGTAGCTACAGCCCATCTGAAAAGATAAGCTCCTTCATCCTGCAATTGAAACCTTGAAGACTTAGTCTGATGGAACCCACTGATTTTTAGCAGGGCTCAGGACATTTAGAAGGTTCTGCCTTTATAGGTTGAATTGGATGTTCAGAATCTAAGTATTATTTTTTTTTCTTGATTTATTAGGCAGAGAAACACTTAGGAAACAACAAGAAGTTTCTCCAAGCAGTCTTGAAATTTTTTGTCACTCTATATCTAATCAGTTATACCCATATTAATTCCTTTGTGGAATGAGGCCCTTTTAATGTATGTAAGCAGCCATGAACATTAATTTACCAACTCATGAAGACCCTTTGTTAAGTAAGAATCTGCTATGATGTTGAGATTGATTGAAAGTAAATCTTTGACTTAACTCTTCTACTCAATTTTTTGTCCTCTGTATTCAATTTATTTGTAGCAAGGCCTTAATGATTTCAGATCAAATCAAATCAAGGTCCCAGTGCATTTACCTACTAAGCCCCTGGGAGGGAGAAGAGGATGAAGGAAATATGGAAGAGGAAGGAGCAGTTAGGAAGGAGTCTTCATTTAAAGAAATAAACGCAATTTGAAGATGGGGTGGGGGAAGTGGGAAGGAGGAAATGGCTGCCGTATATGATAAGAGCTCAAGGTTAAAGTCAATCCACGACACAATCATTTTACTGATGGTTGTTTTTTCCTTAGGGGTTAGGAAATAGGGAAAGAAGCAGGGATTGAGTTGGAGGGAGAAGAGGATGAAGGAAAGAAGCAGGGATTGAGTTGGAGGGAGAAGAGGATGAAGGAAATATGGAAGAGGAAGGAGCGGTTAGGTATGTGATTGGAGTGGACACCATAGCCCAAAAAATTCAGGAGAAAATGTCTATGGTAAGAGGTGGAAGATGAGGATCCAAAAGCTGCCCTGGCTGTAGTAAGAGTGGTTTCTGGAGTCTCCCTTAGGCTCTTGAGGAAGCTCTGCATACCCTTGTAGTGCCCTGCTGTTATACCTTTATTTTTTGATGGAACTCTAAGAAGAAACAGATTAATAGGACAGATCTATAAGAATTCTCAGATACACTTTAGTATTATATCAGGTATTTTTAATCCCTTTTTCCCACTTGTTTTGCAGAAACAAAGGAAGAACAGAGTTACAGAAGGTCAGTGTGTTTTATATTGTGACAGCACGCATTCACTAAGTACTTTTCAGAAGAAAATGCAATCCCTTTCCTGAGTATCACACCATCTGAAGACAGTGTCTCGGGGGGGTGGATGGGGAGGGAAAGGCATTGTGCTCAGAAGTCAGTTGGGATGATGGTGAACAGTTGTCTTACTGGGTTTTTTTCCATGTGCGTATATCTGTTTTCACTAATAATTGGGATTTTGGGTGATGGTTGGATTGAAATGTGAGAGAAGAGTGGCAGGATGGAGATCTGTAAATAGTGAGAAGAGAAAGAGAGGATAATGAAAGTATGATGGGCAGAGAGAGTGGCAGTGGGCAGCTGGAGGGTTTTGAGGAGAGCAATTCTTCATGTGATCCACTTTGTTTAGAACGAGCTGGAATCCTACATAAAAGTGAGACAGGCAAAGGTGAATAGCGTGGCAGATGCAGCCTGCTAAATTCTTCCAGGCTTAAGTTAGGTGCAAGTGATTCTGTGGGACAAGAGACCTAGGACAGAGAGGTTTACATTTTTGTTGAATGAGTTGCTAGTAGTAGTTATATTTAAACTAAAAGAGTGTGCATAAATTCTTTTCAGGATTGGTTGTATATGCAGGGAAAGGATCAACTTGCAAATGCTTGTTTATCCTCTTTTTACTCAAAGTAATAAAACAAATGAAGAAAAGGTGCAGCATGTGAGAAGGCTTTGCTTGGGTGCTGCTGCTCATCGTTTCTGAATTTTATTGATTTCATTTTGTTAGCATGAAGCCTGCAGAGCACAGAGTAAATGGTAGAGTTGAGACATTAAACATTTTCACTTTTCCAGTCTTAGCTTGGTTAACGCTGGATTCAGGGGTGTTTGCTCTGCGTAAACGTATTTGTTTTAAAGCTAGCCACATTGCTTATGATTAACTGTTTGGTACAGGCTTGTGAATGCTACCTGGCAAAATACAGGAGAAAAACATATAGTGTTGCACAAATACAAATGTTCAGCCCAAAACATCTATTTAACTGCAACTGCAAATACTCAGCTCAAAACATCTCATATAAATACATAGGAAACATGAAAATCTAGCCATTTCAAATCTTTGCATGGTTAAGGACTAGAGGTACCAAGACATTTAAGCATCTAAAGATGCAGATAGGCATGTAGTGGGCTTTAGAGAGGCACAAAAAAGAGTTGTTGGATACTAACTTGCACCAGCTTCAGTGGGAGTTAGACAGACCTGCTTTTGTACTTCTGTAAATTCCCACTTGGTGCTGATCCGCATATTAAAACATATTTATAAATTATGGGCTTTAACTGAATATGTTAGGTTTTAGATGCTCAGGGAACAGGAATTTTTTAATTATTATTACTGAAATCCTTGCTGAGGATCATAAATCTTCTTTCTTGCCTTTATATTGTGCTCTATTCTGAAGAAAAGATACAGTAATAGGAAACTCGTGCTAGACGGGTGTTGCCCCCATTCAATTTTGGGAGGCTATGCTGTAAAGATACAATCATTGCTCCAAAGAGCATACACTCTAAATATATTACATTAGACAACCAATAGAATAAAACAGAAAGGAAGATCAGGATTTGGAGAAATGGTACAGTATAAAAAGTAGCAATTGGAGAAATGGTACAGTATAAGTATCAGTAAAAGTAGCTACAGGATGTTGGGAAATCAATGCGTCTTCCAACCAAAAGGGAATGTAATATAGCCTATGTGACAGCTTGGATCATACTTAGTGAATGAGTAGAAACTCCTTTGTGTGAGGGTGAAAGTTCCTCAACTGTTTCTGGCCGTGATTGAGGACCCAGGAGTGACCTTACTGATGTTTAATGCAGTGTCGAGGGGGTATTGCTAGGCTGAAAACAAGATAATGTGTATAGCAGGCTTACCTTTTCAGGGCTTGGGTTGAGTCCCAGGCTCGAGGGTCTGCTGTTTGATTGGTGGAGCCTGCCCACCAACCCGGAAGCAGCGCAACTGAAGCAATGCCCTGCCCTTTTCCAAAGGGAGGGGACAAGGAGCAGCTGGACCTGGATCAGAAATGCACCAGCCAGATCCAGAGAACTTTGGGGGTGGAGCCCCTGAGGAGTATTAAAGGGAAGCATGCTCAGCATGCTGGGGAGAGATGGCAAGGGACAGCAAGGAGAGAGGAGCTCCAGAGATGGCTGTCCTCGGGATCCTGCTTGAGCTTCAGCGGGGTGCAAATTGGCACATGGGGATCAGGCTCTAGGAGCCGCTTGAGGCAGCTTGAGTCTGTGCACCTGGCAAATGGCTGGGCAGTCTGTATGCAGATTGGTACATGGAGAGCTGGCCCTGGGAGTAGCTCGAGGCTGCTTGGGCCCCACACGGCATGCAGATCAGCACATGGAGAATCCACCCTGGGAGCAGCTTACGGCTGCTCGGGCTTCACCCAGTGTGTGGGTCAGTGCACCAAGGACCTGCCTAGTTAGCCCCAGCCCTAGACCAAGTGAGCAGAGCCCTGCAGTGTGGCTCCACCTTTAAGTAAAAGAGCCCCGGTGCTCAGAGCAGGGCCTAGGAAAGGGAGGACCCCCAGTATGAGACCAGGGAACCAGAGCCTGTAAAGGTTAAGCTCCCATGAGACAGAAAGAGCCCTGGGCTGCCCAGTGCTGGGTGCCAGGCCACTGAGGAGAACTCAAGGCGCTGCTGGAGAGAGGCTCTTTCAGGATTGGCCTCCAGGGGATGAGCGCTTGCTGGTTCAGAAATGAAGCTGGAGTTGATGGGGAAGCGGGCCCCACAGGGAAGGTGGGCACAGGACAGGAGGGTCTGTTGCCTCTACCCTCTATTGCGGGAGGGATGTATCCACATCCCAGGGCCCTAAAGGGGAGGGGCTCCAAAGAAACCTCTCGGGGAGGTACTGAGTGCACACCCTATTTAGGGTGATTGTTGTGTCAAGGTCTATATAGCTATGGGTATTCTTTAAGGCAGTTTATATGGTTTATATGTTCTTAATGTGTTAATATGTATATTTGTATTGTTACTTGGTAGGTCTAGGAAATAGTATTAACTTATTTGGGTTATATAAGTTTCATAGTTTCTAGGGTCGGAAGGGACCTGAGCAGATCATCTAGTCCGCCCCCCTGCCATGGCAGGAAGACCACTGGGGTCAAATGACCCCAGTAAGGTGGTCATCCAACCTCCTCTTAAAAACCCCCAGGGTGGGAGCCTGCACCACCTCACTTGGAAGCTGGTTCCAGACTCTAGCCGCCCTGACCGTGAAGTAGCGCCTCCTGATGTCCAACTTAAA